CGCCACAACCACGTCACCACCGCAACGACGGGGTCGTCGTCGCCTGGCCGGCCAAGGTGATACGGGCGACGCCCGACAAGGCCCTCAGCAGCACGCCGCCGTACAGGAGGAGCCAGACGCCGGTTTGACAGCAATGCAGGAGGGGCCCAACGGTGGACCTGCCGGACAAGTGCTCCTAATGCCGCAGCATCCCCAGTACTTCACGCACGTCCTCCGCCGACACCCACGGCCAAGATTCATCATCTTTGGCGGGTCGCTTCCGAGGAAGCCAACGCAGGACAGCAGCGATGCCGTGAAAGATCGCTACTACGCGTTCGTTCTCGGGAACTTCAAGTCGTGGCGGGATTCACCTGTGCCGCCAGGCATGTCCCTCCAGGACGCGTATGTGGCATGGCGGACGGACCTCCAGCATACCGCTCCCCAGTATCTTCGCTGTGTCGACGTCGTCCTAGACAACATTGAGGAGGAGCACGCGGGACGAGACCGTAGAGCTGAGGAGCGCAACCGGCAACGCCGTGAGCAGCGAGCGACGGCGGCACAAGACCCGTATGACAGCGACCTTGTTACGGATACTGACGATGAGGACAACGGGCAACTCGCCGAGCACCCAGAGACTCACGAGACCACCGCCGGGGACGACGCCACTCCGTATCGCTTCGAACCTGGGATTGCCCCGCCAACGGCCGGTTTCGACCTTAGTGCCATCCCAGTCGAAGACCTTTTCGACCGAAGCATTGGCTCTGGTGCGTACGCGTACGGCGCCGCCGCCAAGTGCCGGCCGCCCCAGCTTCCCGACGGACATGGAGCCGGCGACCAGTCCTTTGTACGACACGCCAACGATGACGACCGCAGCCGCCTCGTGACGGCACGCCAGCGCCTCACCCACTACGTTGCCGGTCTCGGAAGCCAACTCGCTCCACCTGCCACCGTCGCAAATGCCAACTTGCGGTTGGAGCGACCTCCCGGCAGGCCGGTGTTTGCAGTGGTCGTCAACCCTGGGACGCAGGAAACACCGATCCGACCTGGGGTACCGCCGCCGTACATCAAATTGGCGACTCCGCCCTCCATCGACGACACCATACAGCTATTCACGCTTTCCGCTGAACAAGCTGTCTCCTTCATGCTCATGGCGCGCTACTTTGACCGCCGCAACACCGCCAACCCGGGACCGCCGCCAAGACTTCTCGTGCTGGGCGGGCCAGGAACCGGCAAGTCCCAGTTCGTGCACGCACTGCTCTGGTACACGTTCCAGCACGGGCAACCCGAGTGGGTGGCCACGTCGGCGTACACCTGGACGGCCGCGTCGCTGTTTAACACACCTGTACATCGCAGCCTCTCCACGCACAGCATGTTCGGCATAACGACCAACCCCAAGGACTCGCTCAAGCCCGGTGCAGAAGCTAACCTGCAGGTCGCTCGCAACATCGGTGATGGGGCCATCGTAATTGATGAAGTGAGCCTCACCAGCCTTACTCATCTCGGAGCCATCAGCCGTTCTTGCAGCAAGCGTCTCCGCCCTCCACGCCACCTGCAACCCGGCTCTCCGGCTGCCTCCATCTTTGCGGGACGCCCTGTCGTCCTCGTTGGCGACCCTTGCCAGCACGAGCAACCTGGCGGGCCGCCCGCCTACAAGTACGCTGCAGAGCTGGAGAAGAACGCCGACTTCAAACCATCGGCGCCGAACGTCCGTCCACCACGAGGCAACAACGAGGCTGACGACCACCACGACGGCGATGATGAAAATGCGGATGACGACCATGGTGGTGGCCGTAACGCCCGTGCTAACGCAGGTACCAATCACGACGAAGACGCCCCAACCAACCGCCGGCAACCACGTCGACCAGCACCGCAGACCTGGGATAACCTGCATGGCGGCTTCACCGACTACCGTGCCCTTGCCGACGTCCTCTTCCTCGACAAGCAGCAACGTCAGACGGACACCCCTGACGGCAAGAAGCTCACGGACTACTCCCAGTTCTTCAACGGCACGCGCACGCCACAACGCAGCGATATCGAGCAGCTTGTACGAGATCTGAACGCGAGGGCGATCGATGACTTGGCCGACCTTGCTGAGCACAACCCGCGAGTGGTCCTGCAACGAAACGAGCCGCGGCACGTGCTCAACACGCTGCTCATTCAGCATCGCGCGCAACGCCTGGGGAAGCGTCTCACGGTTTGGAATGCGGACCATGTGCCCGTCAACCCTCGTGGACGCGGCCGTCAGCCTGCTCTGACGGAGGTTGAGAAGACGGTGGCAATGCGTGTGAAGGACGCCCGGTTTGAGCACACCACGGCGGACACATGGTACTTCGATGGCGCCCTTTTCGTCCTGCTTGACAACGACTCGCCGGACGCCGGTGCCTGCCACAACAACCTCGTGCAAACGTGCGGCCTCATCACAGACCGGCGAGAGCCTCCGGACACAGGTGAAGGCCCGTATCGGCGTCTGCAGTACCCGCCGGAAGGGGTTCTTGTCAAGCCCGTCCGTGGACACCAACCTACCGCAATCCTCGACGGCTTAGGCGACCTCGCCGACAGCGGTGCTTCCTTTGCGGTGACACCACGGGCTTCACCGGAGGCGTCTGTCCTCATGCCAGCCGCGGGCACAGGCACTATCGCCAAGCGGATAAAACGCATCAACGTCCCGCTTGGCGACGCCTACGCTGTTACGGACTTCTTCGTGCAAGGCGGGTCCTTCGGCTCCGACTGCTGGGTCATTGACCTCGCGGTGCCCCCGACGGGTGGGATCAAGAGGGCCACCCTGTTTGTGCTCCTGACGCGGTTCAGGGACTTCTCTTCCATTCGCCTCCTGCGGAAGCTCTACAACAACCCGGTTGAGTTCCGACGGGTGGTCAATGCGTTCATGGCCGCCACCAAGCTCTCGGACGACCTCGCGGCCGAGCTCCGCATACGAACCGCACAGGCGGCCGCCACCAAGCAGCGCTATGCCGCCGAGTTCCGACACGCGCAAGAGCTGGTAGATGCCCGATCCACACCGCCAAGCCCAGGGGGACCCCATGGCGACACCAACACCAACGCCGCCTGACGAAACAATGACCAGCAATCAACTAATGAATCGCATCATGATTGAGCATAGTTGTTAGACATGCATCATCAACATTTTGCATGCATGCAACTCAACGGATGACCGCCGCTGCACGGCGCTAACTGCCAGCGTTGCTCGGTTTACCAACCGACAACGACACGCTCGCAAGGACTGGTGCACTACTTGTGCACTGTGGGTTCGACTCCCACGCGAGTGCCAAAAAACACGCCACAAGACATAACCGGCATTACGGGGCCACCAAGGGATTTACGGTACCCCCGGCCGCGGCAACGACGCGGCGCTATCTGTCTGTCCGTTCGCAAAAGTGGTGGCAACGACCTTAAGGCGCGACAATATTCGCTTCGCTCAGCCAGCCTGAGGTCTCCGGTTCGAGCCAGGTAGCGACCTCTTGGCGACTTCCTGGACACCCTTGGAGATGATGCCTGGGCCTATGGGAATGGTGTTCTGGGAGATCTCGAGTACGACGACGCACTGTACGGCAGCAAACTGTACGGCACAGGTGCCATGCTGTGTGGTGACGCATCATGTGGTGTACGACATGTACGACAGCTGTACGGCAGTGTACGATAATTGTCGTACGGTTGTACGGCACCTGTACGGCATGGGTTTTGACACGGCCTCTCACCCCCCTCCTCCCCCTCTTCTCCCCTCGTCACCTACACATCACCCTAACCCTCCATGTGACTCCTGGCGCCATCTCCCCCCTCACCACAACAACTGGCAGTACAGTGCGGCTTGGGTTATGACACTGCTACCGTTACCACCCCCCTCCGTGCTCCCCACTCCCCTTGTCACCCCCTCATCACTCATCATGCCTGGCATCATCAGGATGGTGTCCCGAGGTGTGTTGTCGTACGGCAACACAGTAAGGGTTCGGGCACCGAGTATCACCAATCTTCTTGTTGCAATATCTTGCATTGTGATGTCGACTAAGCTATAACTGAGTTAATGAGCCATTCGCAGTTTCTTGGTTACTTTCCGAAGTCAGCGTAGAACCGTTTGGTGACCGTTACCGCCCCCCCTCCATACTCCCCGCTCCTCTCACCACCCCTTCATCGCTCCAGGTCCTCTGGACACCCCTGTCGTACAGTGGCCCGGTACGGCATGGGTTGGGGCACCGTGTGCCGCTGGTCTCCTGGCTACATGTCCTGCAATATCTTGCATTGTGATGTCGACTGAGCTGTAACTGAGTTAATGAGCCATTCGCAGTTTCTTGGTTACTTTCAGAAATCGGCGTAAAACTGTTTCGGCAATTGATTTGGATACGGCGAAGCAAAATCGGCGCAAGCTGTAAGCTGGTTTCGGCGACAAGCATTGTCGTGAAGTCGGCGCGTCTGACGAAAAGCGCCGATTACTGGTCGCCGAAGATTAGGGTTTATCGGCGATTACTGATCGGCGAATGCTGTCAGGGGTGATCGCCTCGAAAGCTTCTTATATTTCGGCGCAATTTGCCTGGCATTGGCGAAATTCTTTCGGCGCAATTTACAAACTGGTTTCGGCGATTACTAATCGCCGAAATTTGCCTGGCGTCGGCGAAAGTCTTTCGGCGCAATTTGCAAGCTGGTTTCGGCGAGAAGCACGGTCCTCGAGTCGGCGCAATTTGCCTGGCATCGGCGAAATTCTTTCGGCGCAATTTGCAAGCTGGTTTCGGCGATTACTGTTCGCCGAAATTTGCCTGGCGTCGGCGAAGGTCTTTCGGCGCAATTTGCAAGCTGGTTTCGGCGAAAAGCACGGTCGTGAAGTCGGCGCATCTCCTGGAAAGCGCCGATTACTGATCGCCGAAATTTATATTCGTGTTGGCCGTTCCATCATTCCGGCGCACCATTCCGAAACATGCTGCGATCTGCCCGTGTGTATATGTACGTCAGCATTGTCCGTTCGCTATAAATAGTCAATTGTCTTTATTTTTAACTCTCCTCGTGCTTGGCGGTTTCTATACTAGTGCCTTTTGGTTCCTTTCTGTGTCCTTCGCGATGTCGGCCGAGAAGAGGTGGGTGATAGCTTGCTTTTCTTTCTAGCATTGCCTTATGCGTCCTGAATGCCGTCGCATTTCCGTTTTCGTAGGCACAACGAGAGTCTGTCACCTTCCAAGGTGAAGCGACAGGAGACGATGTCTCCATCCGGGTGAGTTGAAAGCGGAAATGGCGGCGAATCATGGTGACAATCCTTGTTATCTGTTATACTTGGCTGTTTTGTCGCATTGTCGTGTCTGTGTTGTTTGTTGGGACCCTGATAGGCGCGTCCATTCCGTTGCATCCTTGCTTGTTTTATATGCGAACCCTCGGCACTACAAATGCCTATCCGGTGAAGCATACCGACATGCCTTCTCGGCATCTTTTGTTGGAGCCATTCTGAGCCATTGCGCCGTGGCATTATGTGATCTGCAGCTAGGTTATTAGGAATATTATCTTGGTTGCATTTGACATTGTTTGCATGTAGTTGCACCAGCCAAATTCTTCGTTGACCCATGGGTCTTCTTTATGTTAACATCGCTGGTTGCTCTCCCGTTTCGTCTCAGGGCGTCGTCTGCGGCAAGCGCCATTGCCGGCAGCCCCAGGCTCCTCCGACGGCTTGTGGCGTTCCAGCCGACACTGGCTTTTGCTCCGCAGGACAGCTTGGATTACGCAATCAGGGACAGCCATTGCGTGTTGATCGGGCCTGCCGTACCAGGTGCCGACGATGGCGACATCTCCATGTCGGCGGTTGCGCTAGAGGTCAGCGGTTCCTGCATTGAACGCTTCCGTGACGCGCTCGGCAACATCGTCACCGTCGACCCGGTGGTGGGTGCGGCCATCCAGTCGACAAGGCCTCTTGCACGTCTGTCGCAGCTGTCCTACGTGCAGCTGCATACGGATGGACTGGCGAATGTGGTGGTGAGTTAATTGTTTCGGGATAGTGACTTCGGGTCGTGTTTCGTGTCATCATGTGTGGGTTACAGCCCTCCTGATTGCAAGTGTTCCCGTTGAGTCTAACATTCGGATTTCCTGGTTATGTACCTTTTGCCTATGCAATAGGTGGAACCCACTGATCGGTTCATCGAGCTCGGCCCTCATGACGTGCGGATACTGCCCAATCCACCTGTTAACGACAACCCCAACGTCGCCAACCTCGCCCCGACGCTCATGGTCCCGTACGGCACGTTCACTGAGTACGTCGGCAACGGGGAGACGTACAAGAAGGTGGACGCCATGATCGCCGTCCAAGACGTTTCCGGACCGGTGCCTTTGCCTTTCAAGGTATCCCTGAAGGCGCGTGCTGCTGCCCTTCCTTCCGCGATGGAGCGACTGCTGCAGAGCGCAGCCTCCCAGCAGCTGCCACTGTACGCGAACGGGTTCCATGAGCGCAAGAACCCCACGTACGGAGGTGAGGCCCTTTGGCTGCTTGCCTTGCTTTGTCATGTGGCTCTTTATTGCTTTATTCGTTCTTCGTTATTGCATTGGCGACTGTCCAGCTTCACTCGTACATTTGCGATAGTCCTTAGTTTTCTTCATAGCCGCCGCGTAATTTCATCGAATGTAGTCATGTTGCTTCACCGTCACCATCACCATCACCCTCGTTCTCCAACCCAAATCCACCGTAGGAACCATGTGGATCAACAACACCTACTTCTTCGGCGCCCCCGTTACGCGCCGGGTTCAGCCATTCCTGGAGAGGGCTAACGCCGCCATCGCTGCTGCGGGTAACCCTGTCCCGGTTGCGTGGACGAGCCGCCTGGCGCAGGAGTGGGACGGAACCATCGAGTCGGCACTTCCGCAAGTACGTTTGCGACGCTTTGCATCCGTCTCGTTTCTTTGTTTCATGCAATATCGTTACGAATTCCTTCGAATTCCTTTACCGATCAACCCAATCGATCATGCTCAATCTGATCCTATGGGCCATTACATCTCATTAATGACGATCCGTTCCTTCATACAGTTTACAAACTTGCTGATTGCCAGTCAATGGTTGAGGACTGCCTTTCACCTTGTACGGCTTAACGATCGCGGGTATCTTCTCTCGTTGCATCAATGCAGGACGGAGTGATGGAGAACGCCTCCGTCCAGCCTCTGATCGTCAGGCCCGTGCTTGTCGAGGCCCACGTTTTCCCGATGGCCCTCACTCACCAGGGTCGCCACTACGCGGTGTACGCTGACACCCTGGATGTCCTCCGCCACGTCCCCGGTTACGTCCAGGAGTTCGGCGACGTCGACATTTCGGAGGTGCCGCAGCGGTCCCTGTCCCGCTTCCTGCAGGAGCCGTTCGATCTGCATGTCGACGTGGATATCCGGACCATTGACCGCCACACCCGGATCGTCCGCATGACGCCGCGATAGTAGGGTAGTTGATTGATGCCCGTGCGGTCGTTATGTTTGTCTCGGCAGGGACAACTACATGCGGAGTACCATGAAGTGCGGGGCAGTGTTGCGTCAGGTGTCGCTGACATGTCGAATGGTCCCTTCTGGATGGATTGCTGTTGTCGTACACACTGCTATCCCCACCGTCTGTACGGTATAAGAAATGGAATGTTGGTGTGGCCGTGTTGATAAGAAATGGAATGTTTTGGTGTGGCCGTACATGTTGCTGTCTTTCCGTACATTCTGCTGTGTCTACCGACCGCATGTGCCTATAGGAAATGGACCGAATGACAAGATGCGTCGGTGGTGCATGTGATGTGCTGCGTCGTTGCCTGATGCGTATGCCCGTACTATCGTTTCAATACATTGTCTCCGTAAGGACTGCCGTTTGGGGATATTGGATACGTTTGCATTCGAACGTTGTTATTCGATCGCAGCCCTTGCATGCCGTTTTTTTCTTACTTTCTGTGGGTCGGTAAGGTCGCACCTGCTGCTATCCTTCTGTACATTCTGCTTTCTGTGTCGTTGACGGTTGAATGGATGACATGGGGCACCGATGATATGGGTGACATAGACCGTCACAGCATGATAGCAGCTCCATCACGCAATAGGTCTGTACGGGTTGCATGAACTGGACAGCAATTGCCACACCCAATTATGATGTAACAGACAAGAAAAGCTTCGGTACTTACATCCATCATCTCGCTATCCACTAGCTAGCCCCAATTAATACGATCCATAACCGTCGCTGTACCGTTCAGCAGCCATCATCATGCACAACTCTATCGTACACATGTAGTTGTGCTTCCGCTTTCAGACAATCACCTGCGCCGGAAACACGGCAACATGTACGGCCTTACCATGTGCACATGCGGCGATCCCACAACCTTACCGACGGTTCCAATCATCACCGACATGCAACGTCTACTACCAAGTTGCGCCAATTCAATCCAAAAGGGCCCGTTAAACATTTAAGAAGACACAGCTTAACAGCGACATCGCCGGATCTCTGTTATGTGGTGAGACATGTACAGCAACGTCGCCCAATCCATGCAATTGCAGCATGCAACGGCAACGGCACCCGTTCCAACGTTACCCAACTCGCCAACTCGCCAACTCGCACATCGCCAACTCGCCAACTCGCCACATGCAACTTGCCGCCTCACCCGTTGTAGCCCCCACACGCATGCAAGCATCCCCGCTTTAATCCCCCCGCATATTGTGCAAGCTCTACACACCCCCTCGCGTCATACATTAGCACAGACACAGCCCGGCACATGTGCAAAGTAAAGCAAACAATACTCTCATGCCGCTACCCAATACTCTCATGCCGTTACCTCAACACTCTCATACCGTTACCCAACTTGCGTAATGCAAACCCGGTTAAACATATCCCAGCGTATCCATGCTAGTGCATGCGTGTAATGCTACATGCATGCTTATCCCTTCCTGTCTTTTCCGCCGCCTGCTTCCTTCTTACGCCGCTCTCTCTTCCCTTCCTTAACCTCCTCATCTTCCCCCTCCAGACCAACCCGAGATCCCGTCCCCTCTGCACCGTTTCGAGTTTGGAAGATGTATTCCGTCCGCGGCCGTGCCAGGACCGCGCTCTCAGCAGCTGCATGCGCCGCGTCCGCCGCCGTGCGAGCCTCGGCCTCACTCGCCGGCGGAATCTCGGACAGGACAGCATTGAACGCATGTTGCGTGGCGTCCGCGGGCGTTGAGGAAAGCCGAGTCGTTCTGCCGTGCCACTCCTCGATGAGCTCCCGTGCCCGCCTAAACCTCGGCAGCTTCTGGGGGTCTGCCGGCAGCCTCCAATCAGGTCTCGGTGAAGCAGCCGAGAACAGCCCTTCCGGCAACCGACGCAATGGACGGCCGCCGACTTTAGCCCAGCCTGCCAGAAGCCGATGGATTGACACCACCACCAGGCCTGTCAAACCGGGCGTCGTCGGCGAGTCAACGTCCTCGCTGAACAGAAGGTCATCATCCGCCGGCGCGCCCTCCATTGGAAACCATACAACAGCATGGCAGTTAAACGCGGCTGTGTCAAGAGATTCCTGCCCCGCGTGCCGGTGAAACGCCGTCTTAAGGTCGAAGATCCGCTGGAGGGCGTCGTCTGTTTCTGAACAGCTGTCACATAAGCACAGAACCGGCACAGAGTAGCCTCCCCATCCATGCTCTGAGTGGCCACAGATGACGACACCTGCCCGTGGCTGGATGCCAGTCTTCTTTACGTCGCTCACCACTATAGTGCCCGGTGGCAGCAGGTTTCCAACCACCGCTGATGTGAACCGCCCGGTCTTTGGAGGGCCCCACACGGCACGAAACGGTAACGGCGGCGGCAGCTGCGCAAGGACCTTGCCCGCCCGGCTGCGCGTTACCGCAAAGTCAAACATGTTGACCGCTGGTATGTTATCATCATCCATCTGCACCGTCAGCGGCGTGCTTCCGGTCACGCTGGCATATGCTGCCCGCCGTTCGTCCTCCGTTGCGTTAGGCTGCCTCGTCGCGTTCAGGCGGAAAGCTGAAGCTATGTGGCTCACCAAACCCTCCAGCTCGTTAAATGGGAAGGGTATAGGGCCCGCAGTACGTGCGTGCGCAGAAACGGCCGCTTGCTTGCCTGTCGTCGCCGTCCCCACCTCCCCTTCCTCCTCCTCCACCTCCTTCCCCTTCCGCTTACGCCCCCGGCTGCTAGGAGATCCACCCGCCAGCGCCTGCCGCGTAACAGCAGCGGCGCCGCCAGCAGGAGAGGCTGCCGCCGAGCGGTTGTCGTACAAAAGACCGGGCCGCCCTGCCTCGACAAGAGCGGCATGGATGCCAGCGGCCTCCCGCAACAGCTCCTCTTCGTAATCGCTGCTCATCCGCGGCACTCGCTGGGTGCTGATCACCTCATTCAGCACCTCCTGCACCGTCGCCTCGAACACAAACACAAACTCCTCGTTTGACAACGGCTGCTCACTAGTTCCGCTGCTGCTGACCGCTTGCAGACGAGCCCATGCGCCGACGTCCATCAGGATTCGCTTGTCCGGCCCGAACCCCACTGTCTGAGTTAGCATTAGGTACTCGTCTGACCTGAATTCCTTCTGGACATTACCGCTGATGTTGCTGTTAACTTTGGACAGGTCGCCTGCTGTTTCCATAGCCTTCGCACCGACATCAAGTACAATGCTATCCACATGCACGTCGCATGGCTTGTACTCATCTGCTGCAGGGAGACGTACGAAGGCTATATCGTCGTCCTCCTTCCGTATCACCCTGCTCTCCGTGACGATACACCAGCCACGTGCTGCCAGATGCCACACGCCGCTCTCCGGTGCATCCCTGATTCGCAAGCACGGAACATGCTGACCCGTCCGGCATGTGCTCACTGTGCAAGGACTGCACCGGAGAGACGCGCCCGCTCGGCCGGTGGCGACAACGGCCTCGGCGTCGGCAGCAACGCCCACATCAGCGCCAGTCTGAACGGCGGTACCACCGCTAGCTGCAGCGGCAGCGCTAGCACCGGCGGCAGCATCTGCACCAGCCGTGGCAACTGCTGCAGCGCCACCTACAGCGCTGTCACTTCCGTACGAATAAGACCGTCCCCAAAACCTCTGCAACCACGTGACACGGCAGCGGGTATCCGTCAGGGCACCGATGTCACAGTCCGTGTCACATGGAACCAAACAAGCGACAAGCATAACAATGAAGTCAGCATCGGCAAAGTTTTTTCGGCGCAATTTGCAAGCAAATGTTTCTTGCTACAACTGCCACCTTGTCGTCGCAACGCGGCTATGGTCACAGCGCATGCCTGGCATCGCAACGAATTCTTTCCCAACTATCGTTTCGCTTCTCAACTACTTTTACCTTTCTATTCCAATTTATAAACATGTAC